CAACCAACCAACCAACCAACCAACCAACCAACCAACCAACCAACCAATATATATATATATATGTATATAATATACTGTATATTTGCAGATACATAACGGGGCAAGTGGATGTCCAGAACATTCAGAACACCAGCTAAGAATTTGAAGCATGCGCAGTAGCAGTCCAGACTTTTCTGAGAGGTGCTCTTTGTAAAAGAAGCATCGTCCGAAGCCTTCCTTGGTTTCCAGACTTGGGGTGGTTGGTTTCTCTAGGACTCTAGGCCGGCCCCTTTTCTTCTTCAGTCCATTGACCCAGCTCATGAGTCTCTGGTATAGTTGAGGCCTGGGGGGGTTGCAAGTGGAGGTCAAACACGTGCATCTTGGATGCGGTGGATAGCTCCATGCGGCGCCGGGCAAAAATGAACACTCCCGGCGACAGCTTCGAGTTCCAGACCATGATCTCCGACCCGCTCTTCGTGGTGCAAATGATGTTTGTGTTCTTGATGGTCTTGGGCCCTCTGATGTATCTTAGACCGCCATAGGTCCTTGGTGATTCTTCTGTGCGAATGCCGACCGGCAATGGGCAGTTTCAGTTTAAAGGTTTGTGGCCTCACCAAAGAACGCTGCCAACCTGCATCATCTTTCCTCCGTCGGGGTTTCCATGTTCCATCACTGGCAAGCAGTGGCAACCACTTGGGTGTGTGTTCCAATAGGGGTCTCCCCGCAAGCTCTGGTTTTGGAGCATCCGTTTGCTGACCTCGGACCTTCCATGCCCTGGCCCGTGGGGGGTGGAAGGAACTCAATCAGTGCGCCGGTCTCTTTGGCTTCTTCCAGGGGCCTCTTTGGGAGGTCTCCTGGTCTCCTTCATACACATCCCTCACGATGGAGACGTCAGCCAGCACGCCCAAGCAGTGGTCGTGGTTTCATCGGAATCAGAGGTTTCCTTTGTCCCACCAAGCAGTGGGAGAGAACCAGTGGTAGTGGGATGAACCACCCAATAAATGGGAAGAACACACATAGAACATGAACATGAACCACACACACACAGGCCAAAATCCAATCTTACAAATCCTTGGCTTGGCGCACGCCCTCGGCCTGGGAGACGTTTTGGTTCTTTCTTGGGCCCTCTGGAAAGAGCATGAACCTGCGAAGATCAAACGGGGGATCACTTTGGGAGGGCTACTGGGAGGGTCAGCTGGTTCTTTTTTATCTCATTAGTTGCAGTGAGGTGGTAGGCCGTGAGAACGCCGTTTTGGTTTTCCCTGGGTGTCCACATCATGGAGACTGCTTGCCGGTGACGGGAGCATAGGTATGTGCTGACCTTGTTGATCTTCTGCTACGTTGGGAGTCCCTGGAACATGCCGGCGAACCTGGAGCTTCAGCGCATCATTTCGGCGAAAGAGATCGTGATTCAGAAAGAGCTCCTTGCAACTGGGTGGACCAAGAGATGAACGAAACCAACGGGGCGAGAAAGTTGAACTCCACAAAAGCAGGTCGGGTGGTCGGTTTCTTGTGCTTGTCCTCATGTCCGTTCGGAAGCCGAAGGGAGACGTGCGAAGCTCAGGAGAATGGCCAGATCAAAGCTTGGTGCTTCAACCGTTTGACAATCCTTTCGGACTTCTGCTTTTGTGTGGCGGACTTCGTCACGGACGTTCGAATGATTTGGATCTACCTACATACTCATCATCATTGGTTTGCCATCTTGCAGAGTGGCATCTCACTTGGGCACGCTTAGCGGAAAACCCTTTTCCTATTTTTCCCCGTTCTTACGGTAGGTGTAAAGCAGGTGTGCTTAGATAGGTGTGCCGCGCGGGCGTGTCCGGCTAATTCGCTGCTATTTACAGTGCATTCATGCTTCTCGAAATCGTCCAAGTGCATTTCGAATGCTCAGGCTCGCGAAATCTGCGTGGGCGCGGCGGGTGCTTCTAACGACTTGCTCTCGTTGTGGTGCCGTGTGCATTTTCGCACATGGTGGTCACTTTTCGTGGCAGGCGCAAGGGAAACGACTTTTCGTGACAGGTGCAGGGGATCAGCTGTTTTGCTTCGAACTGCAGTTTTCGTGGCAGGTGCAGCACTTTGGACATGGCGGTGATCGTCAAGGAGCTCAGATTTCGTGGCAGGTGCAGTGAATCATGGCTTTTGGACATGTGCCTCGTTTGCAGATTTCGTGGCAGGCACAGCACTCTGTGACCCTCGATGTGCAGATTTCGTGGCAGGCGGAGCACTTGGTGAACCTCGGAGTGCAGATTTCGTGGCAGTTACAGCACTTGGTGAACCTCGAAGTGCAGATTTCGTGGCAACTTGGTGAACCTCGAAGTGCAGATGTCGTGGCAGGCACAGCACTTGCTGAACCTCGAAGGGCAGATTTCGTGGCAGGTGCAGCACTTTGTGCTCTCAGAGGCTCACTCTCTCACTCCCTCACTCTCACTCTCGCTCTCGCTCTGGCTCTCGCTCTCGCTCTCGCTCTCGCTCTCGATCTCGCTCTCGCTCTCGCTCTCGCTCACTCACACACGCTCACACTCACACTCGCTCTTCACTCGCACCCTTCACTCACACCCACATTCACACACTCACACTCACTCATACTCACTCTCACTCACGCTCGCGCTCACACTCACTCATCGTCACTCACACTCACTCTCATCCACACTCACTCTCACTCACACTCACTCACACTCGCGCTCACACTCACTCACCCTCACTCACACTCACTCTCATCCACACTCACTCTCACTCACAATCACTCTCACTCTCTCACACGCACACACACACACACTCACACTCACACTCACGCTCACTCTCCCTCTCACTCACTCACTCGCTCGCTCGCTCGCTCGCTCGCTCACTCACTCACTCACTCACTCACTCACTCACTCACTCTCTCACGCTCTCACTCACTCTCTCTCACTCACACTCACACTCACACTGACACTCACACTGACACTCACACTCACACTCACACTCACTCTCACTCTCACTCTCACTCTCACTCTCACTCTCACTCTCACTCTCTCCCACTCTCACCCTCACTCACTCTCCCACTCTCACTCTCACTCACACTCACTCTCACTCTCACCTCACTCTCCGACTCTCACTGACACTCACACTCACGCACTCACCACCTTCATCACCACCATCACCTCTCTGGACCCCAATGCGTCTAGATCTCTAGACTTTCTGCTTAAAGACCTCGCACACACTGTTTGGGTCTCTTGCCGGGACAATTTTCCTCATCCCAAACTCATTCACCTTTCGACCCAAAAGTGGGATGCTTTGGGTGATTGGACCCCACATGGGTCACCAACCTGCCGACGGTTTCGCCACCGTAGGTTTGGTGCTGCGCGCTTTCGTGGCTCAGCTGCGCCATCGCCTTTGGCGCGTGGGGCACGAGCTCTGCGCCTCGCTCCGCGGCAACGTGCGCAGCGACCGCTTGGTGGCCTTGATGCAGAGCGAACGCACCGGAGAGGCCGAGAGATCCGACGCCGAAGCCGGAGGGGGTTGGGACTTCTGTTCGGGGGTTGGGGATGAAAGGGTTTGAAGCTGATAAGAGAGAACAGCGAATTGCCAGAGCTCCATTCCAAGGAAAAGTGGGTGAACCCTGCAAAACTGTCAGGGGCAGCCTCTGGCCAAGGGGAAGGGTGCGTCTAGAGCTCATGATCGCTTTGATTCCAACCGCGGGACCGACCCTGCCATCGTCGCCGGCGCATTGCAGCACGGAGACCGCGGCCGCTTTTGGCGCCACGACACGCGGGTGTGTAGCTCAAATAGGGAGCGAAGGAATGTGGTGAAGATGGTACCCCCTGGACCACCTATATGGCCAGGCCACCTTGTCGTTGCTGCTGCAATTGTACGCCTTCTTCTACATGGTCACCGATGTGAGTGGCTACTGGACAGCTGCAGTGTCGATTGCCTTGTCGGCCTGTGCATTGACCCAGGGCTGTTATGTGCACTTCGACCTCGCGTACAGCGAGGAGCAATCCGCGCACGATCGTTTGGACAGTGGAACCTTGCGCGGTCGAACCTCCAAAAACTCCATGTGGACTCCAACCCTGTTTAAACGACTACTACTATCTAATTTGATCATACACTTACATATATTACGAAAGCCAGCCGATAGGCTAGGCTTGAGCTTTTAGGGCGAACGAAGTGAGTTAAGGGGTGTGGGGGTGGGGTGGTCGCTGAGGAGGGCCTTTGATAGGGTGGACGCAGAGCTAGGTGGGGAGAGCGCTCCAAAGTGAGGGTCCGAAAAGCAGCAAGAATGGGGTCTGGTGATGCGAGTGATGTAATAGACGCCGAGTAGTGCATCATTAGCATCATGAAGGGCTTTGGAGGCCATTTGGTTCCACTTGTCTCCCTTGCCCCCCCAGTACACTCTGCTTGGCCGGGTGTTTTGACATGTTTAGACACTTGTCTCCACTTGCCTCTTTGCTTGTCTCCCTGCTTAGACACTCTTGGCCAGATGCTTTTACACTTGTCTCGATGCTAGTCTCCCTTCTTGTTACACTTGTCTCCACTTGTCTCTCACTTGTCCAGGGACTACCTCTAGAAACACTTGGCCGGATGTCTTTACGCTTGTCTCCAGTTGTCTCTTTGCTTGTCCGCTGGTTACGTACTCTTGGCTCGAGGCTCTTGGCCTGCTGATTTTTACACTTGTTACACTTGTCTCCGACTTTGTTTTTACACTTGTCTCCACTTGTCTATTTGCTTGTCTCCCTGCTTAGATACTCTTGGCCGGACCATTGCCAAACTGATTACAACATTTGTCACACATTCATGGTGGGTTGAAAGTTATTAACATCTTTTCACCAAAGCAAAGCATGACAAAGCCACATGTCAGTACAATTCAGCAAATTCAGTAGCATATGTTTTGTTTTCGTCTGAATTGCCGGTCCTGACCTTGAGCGAGCTGAAACAATCCCAGAAGGTTCGAGTTGATCACCACGAGCGGAATGGTTCGAGCCGTTGACTGTTTGACAGTTCGTCCATGTGGTTTACTTCATAAATGCGCAAACTGTTTGGGGTCTATGCTGGTATAATTATGTTTTATTGACGATTCTAGACCACAAATCCAGGTCAACCTCTAATTCAATGGTCTTCGAAGACTAAGGTGTCTTCATGCTTCCAAAATATATCACCATGCTCACAATGTGATCCACCTTCCATGCATCCACCCCATCATCCACCCCACCCCATCATCCACCCTGTCATCCACCCCATCATCCACCTTCCATCCCCTTGCGCTGGTCATCTCGTCATCTCATACCATATCTACAACCAGGATCCCCCCAAAGATCCTCTTGCATGTCTCCAAATCCGATCACGGCAGGATTGGGTGCCGCCTGCGTCCGGTGGCGCGGATCTGGCGGCGGAAACCCGGCCGAAGTTGGAGGAACCCGATCTGGTGGATCTGGTGGACCTACCTGTGCCTGGAGAACATGTAGGCGCGCATGTCTGGATGCTTTTGCTCATATTGGCCCACGTGTCAAGCTCGTTTTCGTGCTGGCTTTTTGTTCACAGTCCTGGCACGTCTGAGTACTTTTCCAGTCAAGCTGCGTCGCCGTGGATGACGATTCGGAGCCGTTCGTCATCCATAGCTCGGTTTGTATTCCCTATTTATCACCAAAACGAGCTACAGGGAGTTCGCCAACCCCTTGCTAGATTAAAGTGGATTGGATTAAGAGTAGATGGCGCAATCCCCAAGTTTGGTTTACACCCAAGACATCTCGGGGGTATCTCGTGGGGTGTGCCATCGAGCCTCTGAAACCACCGTACCGTAGGATTCAAACCATCATTATTTTAATAGGCTGAATCCCAAACAACCATTGTTTTACTAAGGACTTTACACTGCAACACCATATCAACCTTTTTTCAATGGTCTTGGAAGGCCAGGGTGTCCCGAGTCCACACCCCAACCCGTTTGACCCAACTGGACGCCAGAGGCGAGAGCTGGACGCCAGATGAGATGGACGGTCGCTGAGCTGAGATGGAGGAACCACACGGTCATTGCGGGTGTTTCTTTAGGTCGCTCACAAAAAGGAAACCAGCCATGGAGTTCTTGTTGCTCCTTTATTCAGCTCAATCAAACCAGCTCAAATCAAACCAGCTTTGCTTGGAGCTTTGGGACCTGGGATCTTCGGCTCTCATGTCTTTCTCACGTCGATCCGCTCCGCCGCACCGGATCCGGAGATCCGGCACCATCGGTGCGCCGGATCGCCGGATCGCCGGATCACGCTCGGCGGAGCCGCGGAAGGGAGTGGCTCAAAGAGGTCGATCTCGCAGGCTTGCCGCAAGGAGAAAGACAACGTCGGTTGGACATCTTCCTATTAAAAAGCCATCCCAGAATTTGGAACACTCCGAATCACCTTTAAGAGGCACGTCTTTGGAAGCTTGTGGTATAACTTGAGACGAACTGTCTCAGCTTGCTTTCAGAGTGAATGGATCGCATGACGGTAAGGTGAATGGTCGCCAGATCGTATGGACGGTCACGAGCTGAGTGTTTTCATTTTGAAACCTGGCTTGTCATTGTCTGTAGGGCTCCTGGCGTAGCTCCTCCATGACTGGACCCACCCAGCCCAGTCCCACCTTCGAAACGAAGGTATGACTGGAGCCCTTGTTGGTGTGTCCATTCTGGAGAAGATAACTCCCAAGACATGCGGTTGTTAGACCTGGTCTGCCAAGGCAAAGACTTGGAGATTGAGAACCACCGCAAATCTTTACCAAACGATCGTCCTCCAAAAGGCTCTTGACAAGGGCAAGAGGCCAGAGGAGGAGGAGAGAAAGCACAACCTTTTTAGGCCGATGCCTTGGGTCAAAACCGATGCCTTGCACCCACTCAGATCTCACTCAAAAGGTAGTACCCCCGCACGACGATGCAGTGGCTGGTCGTTGATCGACCAAGAATCAGAGCGGTTTGGGGTCGTTCGGAGCCAACCCTGACAGGTTGAAGAACCCACGCCCAGGCGATTACGGAAGACGTCGTCAGGTTGGTCACGTCCTGCCGTCGCCGCGAAGTCTTTAATTTCTTGTATAGTTTCGCCGACTTGACCACACTCAGAATGAGTGTTGCGGAGATCGTTTCACCGAAAAAAGAACATGTTATTACTTTTTTGTGGTGTGTATTGTCTGAGCCGTTTCAGCTGCAAGCCTTTTTTGTATTTCCATCGGAGAAGAGGGGCTACATCTCCGTTCTGGATTGGAAAGGGACTGGTTTATTGATGCCTGCAGTCCTGACCGCCGGTCCTGACCGGGCTTCCAAAGGTCGGAGAAAGCATGGGAATTCACGAAAGATGGGGAGAGGTTTCTCTTTGCAAGCACATCAAAAACTCTCTTCGACCCTTCAGGTCATTGGCCCTATAGGGCCTACTAGGGCCTACTAGGGCTCCTGGCGTACCTCCTCAGATTGTATGACTGGACCTTCCTGGCACCCATCCTAGTCCCACCTTCGAAACAGAAGGTACGACTGGAGCCCTAGTACCGAGTGAGCGATCGACCGCATTTCCCAAGGAAGAGTTTTGCCACCCGACTCACCCGACGATGGCCAGGATTGGTTTCAGCACGAGCGGGGTGCGGCGATCGATATGAGGAGCGGGTTTTCACGATCGGTGTTCGTCAGCTCTGCCGGACGGCGGGTCTGTTGGTGGCGGTGCTGGGTCTTGTCTTCTGAACGGACCAATTGGAATGATGCTGTGCAGCTGGTGCAGCCTTGTTTGGAAAGAGTTACATTGGGCAAGTTCAGCGTGAAACTTGTTTGGAAAGACATCCAGTGGTCCATTTTCAGCTTCTATGTTAAACTTACGGTGTAAAATGTGACACATCCAATATATAGATGGTTTGGGGGGAAGCGTTTTCGTTGGTGAAGAGCTCTGAATGATTTTGGCCCTTACAACGATTCACAAACGGAGCTCGAAACCAGGTCCCCATAATAAAAAAAGGGTCGACCCTGTGCATACTTTAAAATTATGGTTTCAGCAAGAAGAGGAGGAGGAGGAGGGGGAGGAGGAGGAGTTGGAGTTTGGCTGAGCAGCCTGCGTGCCGAAACAAACCACTCCGTGACATTGGGTCCCGCCAGAATACAGCCATGTTTGGAGCTCCGGTTGGAGCCGTTTTCGGAGAGAGACTCTACCGGTGCCTTCGCTGAACGACTCGATTTCTCGAATTCCCCGCCCCTTTCGACCTGCCGTGCCGGTGCCTTCGCCCGCGACAGGTCGCCTCGCAACGTCTCCCCGCGATCTCCACGTCGAGGTGCCATCGATGGGGGAAGAGTGGAAAGATTGAGCCGCTCGAGTGGATCTATGGGCATGGATGGGGAACGTGTTTGAAAAACTTTCTGGGTCTCTTCTTCTTCTCAGGGCTGTTGAAAGATTCTGCTTTGGCTGTTGAACGATGGTGGAGTTGTGGAACGATGCCGGAGGACTTTCACCACTCTCACGGGCCCTGCGATCGAACGTTGCCAGGCCTCTTCGACAGCCCCATGGCCTCCCCGCGTGCGATGCGCCGCTGCATGCCGTGGCGACCCAGTCCGAGTCGTGAGCAGGTCGAAAGGCAGCAACAAACGGTTTCGTTGTGAAAGGATGGACTTCATGAATATGGGCCGTGCTTCTATCCCTCAAATGGGAAGGCGTAACAGAGGGTCCGCTGCCATGGAAGGTTCAATCATTTTACGGGAGGAGGAAAGAACGATCTGGCAGGGGTCCTCCAAGAGTCCGACCAAACCAGGGATAGATGGATACGAAGAAGGACAGATCCAGAGCATAGCCATTCTGGCAAGCGTTTTTGGATCGTTCACTGTAGACTGTAGACTCTCTGCTTTCTTTTAAGTCTTTTTCACACGACTACACAATATGATACAATATTCGTACTGTTAAGACAGCTCTTCATGTGCAAATGCAACATCCCAAAGGAGGAGGGACATCGAACCGATGTCTTCTTCAACCCGGAGATGTCTGCAAAAACGTACGATGCATAAACCGAATTATTTATGACTTGAACCGTGGATCGAGTTCCGATGTACCTGGCGCTTCCGCTGGGTGTGTCGTGGCTGGACTCCCCTCAAGGATTCATTCCGGGCCCTCAAACAAACACATCACTCTTCCAGATATACGTGTCCCAGGGTGCATTTGGGACTAGTCCCTAACATGTTCAGCTCTGGTGCGGTATTTGCTGGGGAATAACCGGAGAAAACGGTTTCATAATGATTTTAAACACGGCCCAACATGCATCGAACAACTGCTAACCTGTCCCATGACAGAAGAGATGCCAATTTTCGTCACGGGCAATGTTAGCTTTTTTTTCATGATTTTAGTCTAGATTCCCAGGATCACATTGTAAGCCAAACACCTTTACGCAACTAACCTGTCCAAGTCACATGTTTGTAAAAACTTTTGAATCGCTAACGTGTCCTGCTTATGGATCTGATCTTCTGGGTCAACTAACTTAACCAAAAATAAAAAGCCTGTAGGGGGATACGTCAAAAACCGGGAGAGTAGGCTTTGGAAACCGGGTCCGAACCCCTGCGTTTCGGTGGAGAAGGTCCGACCCATGCTATGGAGAGCCCGTTTCGATCCATCCAGAGACCTGGCAGGTCTGAGCGAGGTCTCACCAAGCAGGAGGCACGGTCACGCATCTCAGATCAAGTGGATGGGTGAGATCTTTGGAGACCTCGTCCTGACCACCACAGGTCATCAGGTCTACCCAGTCTACCCGTAGTCTACCTCGTGTCGTCTACTCTACCGGTGAGCCAGTGGGATGGCATCACCGGTGAACTGGTGCTGTGAATATGAAGAAGAACTTCAGGGTATCATGAGGGTATGATGCTGTATTCCTTCGCTAACCTTCCAAGGCCATGAAAAGAACGGTTGAATCCTCATAGTATATATATATATATATAGAGAACTTTCTAGCATGGTTGTTTTGTAAAGGCTGTGAAATCCTAGGTTTCAGATTTGTCATTTTGGACATGCGAGGGCTCTTTCAGCCCTCTCAGGTCGTTTTCGATTCTTTGGAACTTGCTGGGTCTTGCACGGTTACTTCCAAAGACATTCTGCGGATCCTGATCCAACTGTGAACCGCCAAAGCACTTCCAGCATCTTCCCCGGGTGTCCAATGGAAATCCACAGTGTAGGGGCTTCCATTGGTGCATGTTGGAAACACTGTGGGAATCAAGTCACGACCCTCGCCGCGCATTTTCGGGCCCACAAGCCGCCTGGTTTCGATCGCCGTCGCTGCGCGTAGGATAAGCCATCCAATCTCTTCAATCGAGATGAGCATCTTGGCAAAATCGGGTTGCCAGTGTTTCCTTTTTCTGCCGTTTGGGCTCTCAGAGCCCATGCATGCCCATGCCAACAAGCCCATGATCTTAGTGAGCTTCTTCATGCGCTCAGATAGGAGCATGAATGGGCAGGAGCATAAATAGGACCCCTTCATCCCCTCATCACGGTGCGGGAATCCTCTCATTGCGTGTGGACCTCTCCGGCATGAAGACGTCCTTTTTCGCTCCTTGCCTCGGTCCGGTCTCGACGAAGTCGGACGCCCCGACAGCGGCGGGACCTCGCGCGCGAAAGGCCCAAAGGAAGAAAGGTTTGCCGAAAAGATTCGATCTAAGATATTTAAAATGGTTTAAACCACTTCTAAGGTAAATCATTAAAACCACTTCTAAGATATTCAAAAGGTAAATGGTTTAAATGTGGGCACAACCAAATTTGCGAACACGAGAGTTGCAGAACCAAGTTGTTGCGATACAGGCGGTGCTCAGTATGGGATGGCGAGAGTAAATCTGCTGAAGTCCAATCCAGGGACACTCAGAAACACACCAGCGCATCTACAGACCCCCAAATAGATAGAAAAGTCAATCCCCACTAAAAGTATATTGGAAACCGTACCACTATCTATTTGGGGATCACTATTATAGAATGTGAGACCTCTGGAAAACTCGTTTCCTCAACCTCCATGCCCTGCCTTTTGTGCAGTGTAGCTGCTTGGTAGGCTCTTGCAGGCCCCCAAACCGAAGCCACAGATGCATGTCATGATCTCTGACCCCCCAAACCCTTCTATTTTGCCTTCTTGTCCTTCCCCCTTCAAACCTGCGGCACTGACCGCCTCGGCCTACCGCCGGCACTTACGCCGCCGAGGCCCTTTTGGACCAGTCCCCGCACGCCCAGGAGCTGGAAGGACGGCGGGTTGGGGGTCGGAGCCGGGACCGCGGTCCCCGCGTCGGCGAACGCCGAGGAAGACGGATCGGATCCACGTCTTCGGTCCGTTTTTGGGTTTTTTAGAAGACCTGCTCGGTGGATGAAGACTTGGACGTGCATCGGTCCGGGGTGGGTTTCGACTTACAGGCCACTTACAGGCAGCAAAGTGGTCAAGAAAGGCACCCCTTCAGCTCTCCTATCTCAGAAGATTCCGACCAATCAGGACATCAAGAACGCTTACCAGAGAATGGGCCAATTGGAAGTATATATTGTTGGCTGGGCAGGCGTAGACGGCCAGGGCATTTTGAGCACATTTTTGCGAAATCCGTGTGGTATCTACAGCACTTTTTGTGTGTCCGCGGGGCCACTGGGAGAGCGTTGAATTGGCAAGGAGCGTTTTTCTTTGGTATTGTGCATGTTTTTGGCATCGGCGCCTGTAAGGGGCCGTGCGTTTCAGGCGTTTTTTTAACTTCACATGCGTTCACATGCATGCTTTCACATGCGTTCATGGGGGGGGTGGGGGGGGTTGGGGGGGGGGGTGGAAGGACTTGCCGAAGGACTTGCCGAAGGCGTATCCTGTGCATGTCATGGTTTTGGGCGCTGTGGAGAGAGCACGTGCCCCCATCCTGTGGGGCCCTGATTGCAGGGTGACGAAACCAGGTGCAAGGCCTCCTACAGAGTCCAAAAAGCAAGTGCAAAGCAGCGGGCTTCTGAATAAAGTCGATCGACGCAAAGGCAAAAGCTGCTGTCACTTCGATGGCAATCGAGCTTGGTCAGCAGAAAGCAAGCGTCTTGGTCTTCAACATCGGCAAGTGTGTCACCAAAATATGGAGTTTGCAAAACCCGTGGATCGCACATCTCCAGGATTATCGAACCTTGGAGGAACTCAATGCATGGATCGATGGTGGCTTGCGCTCAACAGCCTCAACAGAAAAGTGAAGAAGGATGGAAGAAGTGTACGTACTATATAATTGACCCCCTTTTCAACCACCCAACGTAGGTCAATATGCCAGTCCCATGGATGGTCTGGGTTGTG